CACGTAGCAGTATTATAAATTCATACTTTAAAATCTTCCTGCTCAGAAAGAGCTTCATGAGACATTGTCCTTTAGCATTTGAGGTGCTTTTACATTCATTTTTGGTGTATCACAGTTGAACAGCTGGGGATATAGAGAAAACGTGCTCGATTCTTAGTGTTTTAATGCTCCCTTGTTTAGGAGTGGAGAAATCCCTTGCTTAGCTAAGGCCAAACAAAGCTATCAGGCACAGAGGTAATTAAGCCACAGACTTTGTGAGGCTCCCAGGACCTCATTCTCACTCACCAGAGCAGGCTGCCTCGCTGCTCCCACAGGACAGAGACAGACAGAAGAATGAGTACAGAACAATACTAAAGCCGAGGATCCTGCCAGCAGCGTCACAAGCAAGGTCTCAGCACCTCCAGTTTGTTCTTGGAGCCAGCAGGCAGGAAAATATTGTTAAGTTAGTGGCTACTGTAGCTGAGTTCTCCTGCCCTTTCCTATATCCCTTGCCTTGGGAAAGCAGCATTGCAGCCTGCAAGAATCAACCTGTGACCCTTTGCTAAAAATTCCCCCTGAATTGCAGGGCAGGGAAAACAGGCAGGCTCAGATGAAAATGCCCTCTTAAGGAGAGAGACCGTGACTACGTCCCTGCTAAACCAATAGCCGCAGGGCTGCCTTTCTGCATGCTCAGGGTGAAGCAGAATTCCCTGGCCTCAGGGCTGCGGCAGATGGGGGGGAGCAGCTCCAGTGAGCAAGCGAGGCAGGCGCGTCCGCCGGGCCGCTGAGCAAGGCAGCAGTCATGCCTGGCCCTGCCTCACCCCTGCCCTGCCTGCAGGGAGGGAACAGGAGGCGCATGCCCACAGCACGCAGGGAGATAAGGCACGACCGTGCTTCCTTCCCACTGCATTCCTCCCTCTGCTGCCGCATCCTGCCCTTTTTGCTGCATTTTGCAGGACAGAGACATGCTGAGGAGGTATCAGTACAGCAGCTAACTAAAGACACATGGATCCAGGGATCACTGGCTGCATGGACCAAGCATATCACACTGCCAGCCTTTTCTGCTCTGTCCTCATGCGCACACAAACGTATTGACCCCATGTCCTTTGGCAGTCACTTCCATGGATGACCATCACCTGATGATACCTCATGCTCCTGAAAGGCCAAGGGAAACCAAGCTCATCAGCTCCAAGAGAGCAGGTCCTCTACGGGCAGCCCGTGAAGTCCCCAAACTCCCTTTCTTGAGAGTCTCTCCTCATTTTGCAGGGATAAGCACCCCTGCAACATCAACCATGTTTACCTCAGCTGCAAAGACCCTGGCCAATAACTGCTGCCTCTCTGCTCCCTTCCTTGCTACTGTCAACTGCTTTCTGGTAGCCCCTTTCCTGCTGCGAGTCTCCTCAGCTCTCCAGGGAACACATGGAAAATGATGGAGGTTTAGCTTGGACTGCAAGAAAAGCCACTAGAAACAAGAGGAAAAAAGGCACCTTAAATAATGTAAACTCGTAAGCAACTGTAACTGTCATTAATGCATTCCCAAGTCTCAAGTACATTGTGGTTCTACAGCCCTGCAGTGGTGAGGTTTAGTGTTTTAGGTATGAACTGTGTCTACAACTGAAGCCAGAAAAACTCTTAATTAAAAAAATAACAAAAATGAGAACAGCAATTAAAAAGGGATTACCTATGGTACAAGTTAGCAAAATAGGTGCATTCTCCTAAGCTGAGAAAAATAAAAAGAAACCCAGCCTGCAACTACAGGACATCAGTTTGATTTCAAAACTGCCTAGTCTGCTATCATAATAATCTGTCCTGGCACTGAAAACTTGCTCAGCTGAGAAAATCGCACTGGCAGAAGGGACCAATGGACAGAGTCTCCAGATTCATGGCATGTTTACCATAAAAATAATTAAGCTTTTTCATTTAGGGTTTGGAGGCTTTTCCCTTTCAGAAATACACAGCCTTTTCACCTCAGGGGCCCCTTGCTTTTCAGTGTGTTCAACTGAAGAATCAAGATTTTACACTTGCAGTGTAACAAAACACACCTGCAGTTCTCCAGCTCTTTTGAGGACAGCTCAGCTCCAATAGCATCAGCAGTACCACCATATTCTCTCAAATGCTAGAAAAAAAATCAGCATAAGATTAACTGGATTACTAGACATGGAAGAACACAAAGAGGAATCTTAATTACTATGATCATTTGTAACCAGTTGCATGAATTTGCAGATTACTTTTCTCTTTTCTCCCACTCCCCAGTTTCTTCCAGACAAGGGAAGGAAGGACTTGGCTCAGGAGGACACCAAAACTAAGTGGAGGAAGACCACGATGACTCCCTGATAAAGGAATCCTCCAAAGTCCTTTGTGGGAAGCAGCATTTATTCCTTCTCATCAAGGATGGACAGAGCAGCTTCCTCCACCTCTGGCCCAGTCTGTCCCCCTCCCAGGACTCAGCAAGGAACAAATAGTCCCAATTTTGAAGGGTTACCTCGAGCACAGGAGGTTCCCGCTCCAGTTAAAAGCGCTGTCAGAGCCACGAGCAAACACAGTAGCAGGTCAATGAGGGAGCCACTGTGGGAAGGAGCACTTGGTACCCAAACACAGCAATGATTCTCAGACAGGCCCAAGTTGGCTTCTTCCCTCTGCCTCCAAGGTGCATAATGAGACAATTAACTTTAGATTTTCCTCCTAAAAGGTGTCAAATAAAATAACTCTAGGACAGCTGCCTCCAAACCCATGGGATTAATCAAATAAGAGACAAGTCTTACAACTGAGATGAACAACAATGTCGAGTTCCATAGAAAACAAGACTCCAAAAAATCTCAAGGTGTAAGGGGTTACAAATATTCAGACTTTATTATAAATAAGAAATACTGTTTTATACATAAAAACTGCAAGTGTTGCATTTTGTTCACCGCCCCAGACAGCGAGACCACAGATTAAGGCAAAAAGCTGAAGTGAAGGCACATACTGAGGGGGCCACAGTCAAGAATAAAGTGATGAAGGAACTGTCACGTGTTCTGTGACACCCAGCACTCCATCAGCAGCTGTCTCATCATCACATTACGTAAAGAAATAACTGGACTTATACAATGAATAATGGCTGTAATGCAGTAGTGATTAAGAGATTGCTTATAAAGATTTTTTTTTTATTTAAAAATAAAATTCTGTTAAAAACAGCTTAAGAAGACAAAAAAGGGGGGTGAGGTGGGAAAAAAAAGCAGGAAATCTTAGGCCTGAGGTCAGCCAGGGCATGCGTGCATCTTCGCGTCTGCTCTTCCCACAGCCTTGGCAGAGAGGTGACATGGTTAGGAGACAGCCACGCGACCAGAGCAGCCAGCCAGCAAATACTGATGTGAAAGTCCCACTAGTTTGGGCGAGCACAGGTAAACTCTCCTCCTAGGGTGGTACTACACAGGTTCACAGGCAGGGGGAAATGCCAAGCAGTTTTTGGTAAACTGTAAGGAACTCTAGGAAAACAGGCACAAGAGAGATGTAGGAAACGCTCCCCCACCTCTGTCTAGCAGCACTGTTTGAGGACGCTGTAGGCCTCCCACTAAGTTCTCACTCCTCGCACAGCGGTATTGATTCCAAGCTCAGTTCTCAGATCATCTTAACATTCGGTCTATCCTCCAAAATATCGCTACGGCTCTGCACAGTCCAGCTGCAAACCCACAGCCACCCCCTCGCTCCCAGCACTTCCCTAAGCCAACACACACACAGCTGGTTCCTGGGAGCTACAGCTGCCGGGACTGGCTTTGGAAGGAGGGCCAGGAAACATCTCATCACCCTACTGCAAAAACAGACAAACTGGTTATCGCTAATACCACACGACAGAGATACTGAGAACATGGGGGAGAAAAGGGAGCCCAGGCAGGGGGAATGCATGGCTCCAAAGGAATAACAGACAGGAAAATATATTCTGCACGTGATATGATGCTTATGAGGGAAAGCACGTAGAGGAGGACAGGCTGTGCCACTCTGGAAATATGGCTGAGTATTACACACACATACACACACAAAAGAGACTTCCTCACTCTATAATCATGATAAAAAAAAACAAACAAAAATCACATTCACACAAAAAATATAAATTTGAAATAATTAATAGCACCAGTGTGTGTCAGATAATAATTTCTTCCCCGCTACGCAAACGTACAAAGTTGCATAGTGTTTAAGTATAGATATATATTGAATCTCAAAGAGGAGAGAGAGGGGGATGTCCGACTGGAACCAATGAGGAAACTGCAGAGGATGCTCCCTTCTCAGATGAAGGTTAAAGGGAGGAGTGAAAGCTTCCCCACACTCCAATCCCAACACGAAGATTAAGTAGCTGGGAATGGCAGACACTAACTGGAGAGGAACTCTACAGGGAGGCAGTAGTAGCTGTGTGAAGTACTGCGAGCGCAGAATTGCCACCAGAGCAAGGCCTGAACTCTCTGTGCTGCAGTATTTTAAGATGACCAAGTCATCTGCAGCAAAAAAAGAAAGGAGGGTACTAGTAAACTTTGGCTCTTTCCATCAGGTTAAAAACAGATAAAAGATAAGGTGAATACCAGAAAATACAAAAAGCTACTATCCTCCTCCAAGAACAAGATTTATCTCTTCAAACTCTCTTTTCCACACCAAAAAACATTCAGCTTAAGGTTCAGACCATCTGCGAGAGCTCTCTGGGTGATAGCTTTTTTTTTTTTTTTTAGTTTTATTTTTTTCTGGCAAGACTTCTGCTGCTAAAAAAAATAATTAAAAAACTGTCAGACATTTCTATCTTAGAAAGATATTCTGGCAATCCTATAGCAACATCTACACATGGGAACTCAGCTGATCACTTCCAGACCTCTCAGCTTGGACTACCTGGCAGGTAGCTGCCTCTAGCCTGGACACAATGTTTCTGCTCCACAGGCCAAGAGTAGTGCTGACAAGCTGTATCACTCCATATTATCCCATCTTCCCAAAAAGCTCCTTTCAGAGGCCACATCTTTCTCAGAGCATTGCACCATTACAGAAAGAAGCTTAAAATCAGTATGTAAAAGGCTACCAATGGTTTTGATTGGCCACTAGTTAACAACAACAACAAAATCACAGGGTTAGAAGTTGAGGAAAAGGGATCTGAATGAGTGCAGCTATCTATACTGGCCATCACAGTAACACTTTGGTAGCCAACCCCCTTCCTTCATAGAACAGAGAGCTCTGGAAACAAGAATTTTACAGATCAGGGAAGAAGAGAGGGAAGAAAGTAGAGTTAGTTTTGCCTTGCTGAATACAGCTCACATGGTTATTTCTGAACCACTGTATAAAGAGTCCTGGACATTTTTCATCCTTGTGCTATCAAAGGGAAACTGTGTCTGAGAAAGGGGCAAAGGCGGAGTGCTTAGGAAGACAATTATATTAAAAAAACCCCTTTGATGCCCAAAGACGGATCATTTAATTTGCTTCTCTTTCAAAACTTTTCACCTTATCCTGATCTGAAAAGAAAATAGCCACTGCGAGCAGCAAAGAGTTGGGGATTTGAAGAAGGTAACGTGTGTTAAGGCACTCCATAGCCAAACAGTTGCTCCACCAGTCACTGGGGGAAGTCCCCCCACCCCCAGTGTACCCTTAGGGTTTCTCAATGGACGGGGTGTTAAAACAGCCAGAGGGCAAGGTCTTCTTGATGTCTTCCAGGTTGCTAATGTCTTTCAGGATTTCCTCAATGTCCCTGTTGTAGGCCTGTATGGCATCGTCTTGCTTCCTGGCTTCTCTCTCAAGGAAAGACACCTTCTGGTCCAGGTTGCTATCTTTCATCTGATCTTTGGCACTGTTCAGGGTACCCTCAATCTCATTCAGTTTGTTCAAGTCCACTGTCTCCAGTTGCCCTGAAAAGACAGAAGTAAACAGTGAAGACCATTAAAAAGTCTTTGACACACTGTTTTCATGTGTTTATACAACAGAGAGACCAAGTTGCAGAAAAATGAGCTGAGACCTCCAATGGACCAGCCTTGCACTTAAGACCAAGACTAACTGAATGGGTGACATCTCCAGTACACTTCAACACTCATCATCAAATCCACTGTGCCATGTGCAGTCTAACTCCAGGCAAACGCCTACAGTGAAGTAATCATGCTAGGCCAGGTGCAGTCACTTTCATGGGCAAGTAGTAATACTCCAAGGCACAATTATTCAGGAAGTAAGGGCAGAGCGCAGCAGTCTTACCTAGCTGATCCAGAAGGCCGTTAATGACAGCGAGCAAACTATTTACAGAGTTCTTTGCTTTTCTTGCATTGTCTTCTGCCTCCTGGGCTGCCTGTGACGCCTAAAACATAAAAATATTGGTAACACAATAAATGCAGTAAGGATTATGAAAGCCTTGCCTCGCCTCTCCTCTTCATCTATCTGCCAAGTCAGCGACATCTTGTACGACCCTCTCTGACAGCACTCCTGCACAGACATCTCTGTCGCAGTTCAGCTGAAAAAAGACAACTTGCAAATTATCAGTTTTCTGTAAGGAGGGATGTGATTCCCTGATAACTGGGCAGCATTTTGCAGGAAATCAGGACAGCATCAGCATGGCTTCAAACAGATTTTGGTTCAGAGAAGAGTGACATATTAAGAAAACTGTCTCTCCAAATGCAGCAGTGATCCCGTGCTAATGCTATTAGAGTAATTGCTTCTCTAGTCTCATGAGTTCCATCCCACTTAAACCCTGAAAGGGACAGAATGGTAACTGCAACTGGTGTTTTCTTTCCAAGAAAGGAGGTGGAGGAAAAAAAACAAACAACAAAAAAACCACACACCACAAAAAACCAAAACCATCTTCAGGATGGTAGGAAGCGAGCACCTTCTCACTACTGCAGCGAGCCGCCAGGATTACGTACCATGCCCGCCATCATCATGTCCTGATCAGCATCATCCTGCTTGCGCTTCAGCTCTTTTTCCGCATCTTGCAGTTGCTTCATCATGTCATCCACTTCCCTGGCCAGTCCAGTCACATCAGCGAAGGTCTTGTCAGCGTCAGCTTTGGTAGCAGCAGCATTCTACAGCCAACACAGGGGAGAGGATCAAAGAGGGTGGTGAAGGTGCACAGCATTCTTCTACCCTTTTCATCACAACACGCCAATTTCTTATCATGCTCTATTATAACTCCTCAGGGAATGGAAAAAGTTCAAACACAATTCAACAACAGTAGGTTTCACAACAGCTCAGCAGGAGAACATGTATGCACGCACCAGGAATACAGGAATGTGCCCAATTAAATGGCAACACCTCAGGAGGGCTGATTCCAGAGCTGCAAGCGACTCACCTTCTGAACAGAGCTGGCGATTTTCTCAGCATCATCCGCTTTAGCCTTGGCTTCCCTGGCATCAGCAGCAGCATTGCCAAGTGCCAGCTCTGCCTGGCGTGTCTTATCGTTGGCTTCAGCAATTGTCTGGGTAATGGCAGGGATCTTCTTCAGTGCCTCCTCAGCTGCAGTTTTGTTATCATTCACACGTTTGTCAAAATCTGAAAAAAAAAAATCACCACTTGCTTCAGAAAAGCCATGGGACACTAGCCAAGTTACCCAGGCTATGCTACCCTGAAGTGAAAGGGAAGGAAAGCAAACTAGGATATGGGAATGCTGTTACATTTGTTATCTTAGAAACTCTCATGGCAGGATTGATGTCGGCATATATGGCAAGCTGACCATGCAGTAGAGGCAATGATCATGCATGGTGCAAAAAAACAAACAAAAACAAACAAACGAAACAACAACAAAAACACACAAACAAAATCAAAGATTCACTGCAAGTGCTTTCTCTTTACCTTTCAGGTTGTTGAGAATGGTATTGGCCTCCTCTAACGTGCCATTTCCCTTCCGAGCAGCTTCTTCAGCCAGAGCTTTTGCGGCATCAGCTCGAGCCAGGAGCTGATCTGCAGTCTAGAAAGAAATGACCTATATCAATGTATTCTTATTCTCTTAGGAACAGCCATCTAAGGCATATTAAAATGCATCACCTAAATAGCCTGAAACAGCAATGCAATACAGAACGCTAGGCATCCTCATGCTGGTGACAATACTTCCTCTGAAACTAGGTAAATTTGGCTCCTTTAGGAACACTGCCCTGAACATAAACATGACACTTTGAATACAAACATGATGCATAGCAAACATCTCCAACTCCATAAAACGGTCTCAAGGCCACTATTTTTTTTTATTAGCTTTTTGAATCTCTTCTCCAGGAGGTCTTTAAATATTCTCATAAGTAATAAACAGCACTAAGGCTGAATAAGACCATTATTTTTTGTATATGGTCAGTTACTCCCTTTCTTTCGTCTTTTTTCCAGGAAAGAAAACTCTGCATGCAACTGACCTGCTGTTCTGTCTTCCCTTTCTCCAAGAGGTTTTTTACTTCCAACTCCTTTCCTTTCATGTCTTCTCTCAAGTCCTCGTAATCTTTCAGTTTCCTTGCAATTAACTGATCCAACTCCTCTGCTTCCTTCTTGATCTTATTTGCTTCATTCTGCATGTGGAGATCAGAAACAAAGGCAGATTTTCTGAGGATTAATAACACTAAAGAATTTTTGAACAAGTGGCAAACCACTGTAGTTTCTCATGTTCAAGATAGACAGTAGTTAATGTAAATTCCTTTAGAATTGCAACTAGAATTGCAACTCTGCATTCAAAGCCTCAAATACCACAAGGGGATGGAGAATGGAAACACCTTCAAGCATATGATAATCTACTGTAGTATTATGATCAAAGGAGTGGTAGCCAATCTGCAGATTTTAGATAGCACTGAAATTCTTGCACTTTTCAGTTCTAGTCAAGATGTTTGATAACTAACATTTGACTTTATCTTTCCTCCTTCAGAGACTTCAGAGGGGAGTAGGTAGGCAGGCAGCAGCTGAGGTACACAAGCATGCCTTGTGTGCATATTCACAAAAGTTCCACAAATGAGCAAAACACAATGTTGTCAGTGTCTTATCACAGCGCTTTCATGATTGCCATCGCTGATCTTTGGGCCATGCTATGCATCCCGTTGGTTACCTCTAGGCCTGCGGAATCCACAGCAGGCAGACTGGTGAGATTAGCATAGATCTGCAAAGCCTTGTTGCCAGCTTCCTCTGCTTCTGCAAGCACTTTGTTTGCCTGCTTCTCTAGATCGCGAGAAATGTTTCTTGCTTGATTATACCTTAAAACAAAAAACAGACAAACACTATTGTGATTCTTTTTCTGTAGAATTAAATATACCCACTGAGTAGAGAGGCTAGAACACCGAAAGATAACTCTCATGAAACCCAAAGCGCTAACGTTACAAAAGACATCTCAATTCTCTCTTCTAACCCCTGGAAATAAAACCTCTTTTCTGTTACTGACTCACTTCTGGTTGAGCTCATCAATGTCAACTGCAGTCTGGTTCTCTCCAGCCAGGGTCTTCAACAGCAGTTGATATGCTTCTGTGGAAGTATCATTTGCTGCCTTGGCTATGCGCACAATATCATCAGCTTCTTGTTTGTGCCTGGTAAGTGTGATCAAAGAAAAACAATCAACTGGCAGTTTTATTCTCAGTTCAAACATTTTGTATTCTCCTACTTTTCCTTTCTTTACTCAGACTTGTATAACTGAAATATTTACAATGAGATGTTTTTTGAGGCAGTCTCAGCAACAAAGGGCATCACTACTCCAGCAATGCCCACAGTATCTGGCAAAGCACTGCTATAAATTTAGGAACAGCTATAGTTTAACAAGTCTCTAGTTAGGAGATCTCATGTTTGCCATCATTCTTACTGATGTACAGCTACATATACCTTAGGCCTCTACACCACCTCTACAGCAATGGAAAGTCATTAGAAATAATAACATTTTCCTATTCAGCCAAAGGAAAGGTGTTTCATATTAAGCAAATCTAACTGCACTTCCCTTTCCCAGGAAAAAAACAGGGCCCTTGATGTGGGCTATGAATATCATGTCTTGCCATAACCTACCGTTCAGCCAGTTTACGGGCCTCTTCTGCCAGAAGAGTCATATTGTTAGGGTCACCACTTGATTCCGGGGGTGTAATGGACTGGAAGAAAAACAAACAAACAAACATCACGATGACATTTCTTAAAACTGCTCTTTCATCTTTTATTCATCAGCCGTTTAAATATTCATTGGCATCATCTAAGTGCTTAGAGAGGTATCTAACGTTTTTCACTTCTCCATATAAGTTTTCTTAAGTCCATGTTGCTTCCACCAGTTACCCCACTGCAACCAAGTATCTGCTATCTATTTAAGGTGTTTTAACTAGATTTCTTTGAGCAGAGGCTAAGATGCAAATAATAAAAATAAAAGATCATCCAGACCCAGAAATCTGTTTTTCTCAAACTAATCTTACATGCTCTTGAATGGGAGAAAAGCCGCTTCCCCAGCAGATTTGTTACAAACACACACACACAGGGAGCACAGAATAGCTTTCCCCCACAAAGGGATGGCACTAGGTTGTCACGTCAGAGGTCCCCACCCCACTCACCACATTGTCAGCTGCCACCCTGGCCTTCTCAAGCATTGTGGAAGCTAATCCAATCAGGTCTTCTGTGTCCTCCACCAGCTCCCGGGCCTGCTCAGCCAGGCCCTCTGTCTCCTGCACTGTGTTCTGGATGTTGTGCAGCCTGCTGAGCTGGCTCACCAGGGTGCTGTTGATGTCTTTGAGGCGGTCCATGAGGCCCTGATCTACATCTGAAGCATATGACACAAAACAAAGGAAGCAAAGTTAATTGCAAGAGGAAGAGAAGTTACAGCAGCAGCTTACCACTGTTGGCAACACGTTGGTAGGTTAATCCCCTATTGAAAGGGGACTAGAAAAATCATTTAATAAGTCAGCCAGCTACCTTGAGATCAAAGTCATCATCAGAATGTGCATAAAATATAAGAAATGAAAAGTCATTAACTACCAAGATGACAGTCCTGCTGTGTTTTAATACAGATGGGGAATTTTGTGTTCAGAAACATGTTTTGCCTCTAACATCAATTAAAAAAAAAAGGCAGAGCTCAAGAGATACGAGACATTCAGCTACGATCCTTAGTTTAAATGGAGAGCTACAAGGCACCAAAATAGCACTTTTCAGAACACTAAGCAATCTGGTGGGATAACTAAGCTTGCCAACAGGTTTCTGAACTTTTCATTCTGATCACTGATTATATCCTATCACCTATGGGATTATATCTGGGGTGTAATCCCACCGATTATACCCGAGAGAAACACCATCTCAAGGTTTCTGTAAAAGTTCATAAGCAGCATAACCTACCGGTGCTACTGGTGAAAGCTGCAAAAGCACACGGACACACACCTATTTGCTACAAAAGCCTTCAGTTTTCTTATACAACGGTTATACAGAGAATGAGTGAAAAAAAATCCTTTGCATCTAGAGAAGAGGATAACAACAACAAATGCGTCTTCTCCACACAGAGCTAGAGGCAGCTCTTTATTTTGCGTATTTTAGAGGCCACTGAGGAGAGCATCAAAGGAAAAAACACAACCATTGTTGTTTTGATAGTAATGTGTAACGTCTCAGTGGTATTTGAAATATCTGTCTGTCCTGATGCACAACACAGGCTTTAAGTAAAAAGCTAGGGATCCTAAGGGAGCAGGAACATCAAGTGAAGAGCCAATTTCATGTCATTCCACATTTGATCTCTTCAGCTTACCTTTACTGTTTTGTGCTTCCTGGAGCAGTTCCATAACGTCTCTTTCTGCCTGCTTCAACCTCTCTTCAAAAGCCTGATCAGTCACAGTTTCTTCTCCTGTACCAAGATTTGCTATAAGGCTTTCTAGTTCTTGCAGTCTCTCTCGCTGTTCTGCCACCTATGTGAAAGGGTCAGAGAAAAGATATGGAGCAAAATACATTAAAGCCTTCTGCTTACAGCAGGTGTCACTCAGACTCTACAAAAAAGCACCCCTGCCTGAGCAGGTATAGCAGAGGCTGATACCAACAGCAAGAAATACCAGAAGTACACTCTACTGTTCTTCATCAACCGTGGCAGCAACAGCAGGAGACAAACGCTCACATTCAGGCTCTTACCTTGTCTTTTACTAGTCTGTAACATGCAGGACACTCTTGACAGCCAGGCCATGACCGATTGTAAAAATAGTTCTCCTCACACTGGTCACAGCGGTTCCCCACGAAGCCTTCCTTGCACTCACAGCGACCATTCTCCCGGCACTGCAGGGAGCGGGAGCCCTCAGGATCACAGTCACATGCTGCACAAGAGTTACATTTCAGTCAAACCAGAGGAGTTGCAGAATATCCTAAACTGCAGGCACAGGCTGTGCTGTGTAAAAGCACTAGGACACCAAAACAAGGCCGCAGCCTCACTCCTCATCTGCATTTTGCCACACACACAACAGCAAATGCGTTTTAGTTAGAATATTAATTTCATGTTAGACAGCATTAGTAGTCTTGCTATTGTATCTCTGAGGAGGCTTTTTAATTTTCTACCCGTTTAAATTGTAAAAAAAAGAGCAATCATTTTTTCTGCTCTGTAAGAGGAAGAATATCAGAAATAAGATTTGGACAATATTGTTTTTGTATCAGATTTACAAGCTGTTATGCCTAGGGACTTATCTTGACGTTAAGGCCATTTCCTAAGTAAATATATAGAAATTTAGGAGCAGAAAACAGGACTCTTATTGGACAAGATTCAGAGCAAATATCTGCACCAAAAAGCAGCAGATACTTAACAAAGAGTTCCTGCCATTTTCAATTATAAAAAATAAAAAGCATAATAAAAAAGTAATTAACCATAAGGATAAGCTGTTGCACAGATGGTATAAAAATGGATACAAAAATGCTAATTTCTGTTGCGATGAACAGAGATGTAGTGCAGCAAGGAAGTACATTCTCAGAAACGGAGAAAAGGAAAAAGACTAGTTGTACAAGATCTCGTCTGCCTTGTCCCAGCATCTCAAACTTACGTTTACAGCCTTCATGACCAAATCCAAAGTGGTTGACCTCGCATCTGTCGCAGCGCTGGCCTGTGATGCCAGGCTGGCACTCGCACTGCCCTGTCCGAATGTCACACTGGCCGTTGGTGGAACCCAGCGCGTGGCAGTCGCACCTAGGGAAGGAAGCTGCACGTCACAGGCGGCACGTGGGCGTGCAGCACCTCTCAATGAGCTCTGGTCAGCAAAGAAAATCTCCCATGCAAAGCAAGTGTTGCTTTTCTTGCTCTACTGATGCAGAAGGCAAGGCACCAAGTCTGAACTGTGCAAGGTCACTTGGTATCTGAACTAAAAATGGAATTCAAGAGCCCCTGCTACCAACCATCAAGAAATCACATGTTGCTTTTCTATTTAAAACCCAGATTTAAAGCTATTTATAAATTAGCCTTTTTGTACATCATCACAGCTGTGCCTTAACTCCTGTTCTTCCCAACCCTTCGCATCATCCATGAGGAGAACTACTAAATTAAGACAAATGCCTGTACAAAACTAATTGTAAAACTTCTTGTACAAAAGTTCTCCTGCACCAGGAAAGTGCAGCTGCTCCAAGCCACGTGCTTTGCCTCAAACCCAGATGGGCCTTACCTCTCACAGCCCCGTCCGCTCTGGAGGTTATAGAAGCCAGGCTCGCAGGCGCTGCAGTCCCTCTCAGTGACATGAGAGAGGCACTCACATTGCCCAGTCACTTGATTGCAACTTGTCTGCTGATTCACAGTGCCATACGGGTTACAGTGACAAGCTGCAAAAAAAAAAGAAAAAGGCAAAAAAAAAAAAACCCACACAAAATTAGGAGTCCCTTGTGATTTTAATACTTGCCTAACTAGAGTCTTCTAAACAGGCCTCAGAGCATGGGAATCCAAACCCAACTGCAACCCAGACACTATACAACAATATTTTCATTTTGATGACCATAAGTATGCTACAAACACAAGCATTTTAGACATCTACGATCCCCAAACCATCACAAATCCTTCATTATTCCTGATGCACCTGAATACAGCAAGAAAACATTATCTTTTAACTAACACATCATTGCAAAACAATGGAGGGGAAATGGGGGGAAAAGCACAACTTGAACACGAAACGCTCTTACCTCTGCACTTGTCTGCAGGGTTGGGGGCCAAGGGGTTCCCAAAGAAGCCCTCCTTGCAGCGGTCACAGTAGAAGCCAGCCGTGTTGTAGATGCACTTCAGGCACTCGCCCGTGTGGCGGTTGCAGTTGCCCACGGCATTGGGATCGATGTTATCATTGCACTGGCAGAGGCGACAAGGCCTCACAGCACCATTTTCACCCAGTGGGTCTCCGAAATAGGCATCATCACAGAGCTCGCATCTTTTACCTGAGGTGTGACAGACACATACATGCTACAGCATAAATGGCTTTGCTACAGCCTCCCTCAGACTCCCTTTACAGCCCCTTCTGAAAAGGGAAACTCTTGGGCATACTTCCTTTTCATCTTTGAAATAGGAAGAGGAAAGCGCATGGGACTACAAATTCTGCCCAACCTTTAGAGCAGAGATTGCTTTTACAGTGCCACTACGTGACCTGGAACTTTGGTCGTTATGAAATACTTCTGTTTCCTCTCTGCCTCCATCCCCCATCCATAGCAAATCCTATTTGTTGTAATTTGTTGTTAATTTAAAAGTCAAATCAGGCAGGCAGAACTCCATGAGGCATTACAGCTACCAGAAGCCATATTGCAGACAAGATAACCAAACAATCCCATATGGCAGCCTGACAATCTGCCAAATCCTCCTTGGGCAGGCACCAAAACATTTCGTTGAGCAGTTTTCTGATTCTGTTCCTCTCTGTAATAATAAACGACCTTCATCCCTTCCACCTCTTAGGAACCTTCTACAGGAGAAGTACAGAAAGCTTATTAAAAATGACCTTTGCAGACGAGACTCTGCTTTGATGCACAAAGTAACAGCACACAAGGAAATTCCCAGCTGCCTGGGGATGATGTGCTTCTGTGCCTGATGCAGGACTTGTTCTCAGTATTCAAAGGTATTCTGTACTCTGGACTCCTTCATGCCAAGCATAAATCCAACAGAAAAGCTTGGAAGCTGCCAACCATTTCAAGTCCTATTTGCTGGCTGCAAGCAAAACAAAAGGCTCTTTCTAACAATTCAGGCATTTGCCCAGACTGCAGGTTTCATCATTAAGGAAAAAAAAAAAAACAAAAACAAAAACAAAAAAAACACACCCTGTCATGCAGGACCTCTTGACACATACTTCTGTGAAACTGCTGATAGTATGAATTTGGTCTTGTATTTTCTGACCAGCATGCGTGAGTCAATGCAGCCTTTTTCCTTTTCCTGGGGAGAATGTTACCTGTCACTGCAGCCACTCCACAGTGCCTGTCAGCCTGGCAAAGGGGAAGTGCCTCTTCTAACTTCCTTTCAATCTGAGCTGCCCTCCTAGCTGTTTCAAATGCATCCTATTTTCTGTCCCTACCTCATTCAAGAAAACGAACAAAAGATGTATTAGAAGTTATCATGGTTCACATACATAGTTGTCAGACTATATAAAAACAAAACTTTGCTACCCTTTCCTTCACAAGAGCAGAACATAAAAGAGCACAAGTAACCTGGAGCTTCACTCATGATAGAAAATCAAGCTGGAAAAGAGAGAAGCAAATGGGATTTGAATCAAAAGACACAGCACCTTTAGTGCCACTCATGGCAGTTCAGAGAAGCTGTGCCGTTTCCATAGGCCTGAAGAATGTGGCAAAGAGCCCTTCTGAACAAAGCACACACCTGTAGTGCCAGTGGGGCAGTTGGTGCACACAACCTCCTTTGTGCGGGGTACAATGGCGCAGCTCGAGCTGCCTGGACACGGACAGGGCTGGCAGTCTGAGGCAGTGCCTGCTGTGGCATCGCCATAATATCCATCGCTGCACTTCTCGCAGTGAGACCCTGCTGTGTTATCCCTGCAATCGCACGCGCCTAGAACAGAGAGGTACAGGTTTTTGCTTCTTCTCGGTCACTGTTATGGTCTGTCACAGATGAAGCAGGAACAGGAAGCAGCTCTCTTCCCCTTCCCCGTCCTGTCAGCCCTTCTTACCTGTTTCTGGCTCGCAAGTCTCACTGTGGCCATTGCAGGTACATGGCACACATGGGCTGTACGGCCCAAGGCCAGGCGTGTCTCTCCGGTAGCCAGCGGCGCAGCGCTCGCAGAACTGCCCCTCGTAGCCTGCAGGGCAGGTGCAGCTCTCCACCCAGACCGCGGGCGAGCCGGGGCCCGGGCGTGCGCTCGTGATGGTAACGTCGTCCAGGTGGCCGGCGCCTGCAAGGGACAGAAATGGGAAACGCTTTGTAACCACACGGGCCCTTCGCACTACTTCAGCTCATACAACTGAGCTGTCAGAGACAAACGTGTTGGCAGTTGATACAGAAGATCAAGAAGCAAAATTCTGCAGGAAAGTTTACACAGATAGTAAGAAGAGATGCAATACAGCTTACAAAGGATAAACACGGGGCAAGAAAGTCAAGGACAACAACTCCTTCGCACAAGGGGAGACAGCAAGCAGAGAGCACAGCTTACCAAAGATGCTCCATAAAATACAGAGGAGGAGGCTGAGAACAGAACGTGTAAGAGTAAGTATTGTCAGTTAAAATATGTTAAATTTTGCACACACATGATTCCTATTTCCAAACAAAACACCAAAAATAATCCATGTTTTTATATGGATGACATATAAAACTCTCCAGCATATTTATTACAGCTTCTTTGATACTGCTTCTGTACACCATGTGTCAAGGCACACTCTTCAGCTACCTCCCCAGACGGTTCCTTTCTTGGGCTTTGCACAGCAACCCTTCCCGCTCCCAGCACATCCCCTCACACGAGCTGTGTCTGGATGCAAAATAGCTGGTGTTTACGCTACCGGAGGATGTTTGTGTATGCGCAGTTGCTCTAGAGCACTGAATGGAACCGCAGCTCCGCGTATTGCTGACAGCTGCAATGCTCACGAGACAGCTTGCTCTGCACACCTCTTCCCGATTTCCTAACCCTACATTCCTTTTCTACAAACAATTTCCATTTAAAATACTTGTAGCTTCCCCATTTTCCTTAAGTGCAAAGTCATTCTTTTCTATCTACTTGCTTGTATAAAGAAGGATCTTCTAAACAATTGTCTGAAGATACAGACATTGTTGCCCCTCATTAGTGCCCAGTTTTTATAAATCCTCATTACAGGACAAGCTTTCAAAAAAGTTCTGCACATGCAGTGCTCTCAGGACCTGCTTCTTGCCATCTGCCATGTCATGAGGCAATAGATGAGTGTTGTTCCATGTCCAAAAATATTTTGAAGATTCACTACACCTCTCCTACCATTTCCTTCAGAACTCTGGATTCTGCATTTCTAAGGACCTGGATGCGACTGGCTGGGCAACACAGCAGAGAATCATAGCTGCTCTGAAGAGAAAGATCAGTAGGTGATGAAAACTTAGCTTCAAGACTTTCAAAGGCAGTAGTTTTTTTCACTCCTCCTACCCAAAAGCCCCAGAAGTTGTTAGGCAGGAAGGTCAGATGAAAAGCAGCTAGTACAAATTCAGTCAAACAATTTCCTACAGCTATTTATGACGAGGTCCTACAACAACTCTGAAGCACTGGACAGGCAGGTCCCTTCCTCTCCTCTCTCCATAGGTTTTCAAAGCTCTACTCAGCAACTTACTTCTCTCACTGTATGTCCCACGAATCTTGACAGAGGTCAAATTGTGAAGCAGCTTCTGGAACTCAAACGCTGTAAGAGTAGGCCTCCAGGGGTAATCTGTGGCCTCATGGAGCCTATGGAGAAGAGCCACGGGTTATTTTGAAAGCTCTCACATGCTAACAGCTGTGCCCTTTTAGAGCATCATTTGCAACAAGGGTATGCTGTTACAACACACTTTACACATGATTACGCAATGCTACTAAATAGCAAGCTTCAAATTTATCTTCTAACACTGCTCTTTTGAGCTAAAATCAATGCTACTTGCTTTCTTAAGAGCTTGGAGGCCAGAGTGCACCTCAAGCTAGATTTCAGCTGTGGCAGTTCTTTCCGTCACAGCACGTGGGAAGTCCTCTCACCTGAAAGCATATGTCACTGTGTTCTCACTGGGGTAGGAGTTGCCCTGTGCAATGAGAGGTACTGACACTCTCAGCCCAGCTCCTTCCAGGACCAGGTCCTCTGCAGAGAGACGAGTGTCCCGTCTGTCAACCCGAAAGGAAAAGGTCAGGTTTTGACCATAGCTCAGAACCTGGTTGCCCAAGAACTTGCCTGAAACACAAACACATCCTTACAATTAGGAGACCGAACGGAAGGGCTACAGACAAAAACAAAGAAAAACTCATTTCTTGAATGACCTACGTGGTGCAACAAAATACATGGGGAAATAGCTGTCCGAGATAACAGAGATATCCTGGGTCTCTGCGCTCCACTGCAGCGACACTTCCGAGCCATCGCGTTGTTCAGCACGCCACTCATCCTCACCTGAAAATCAAACGTGCAAGAATCAACACTCCTGGAATACGTGCCTTTGCACAGACCGCTCACGTTACAACGTACACCGATTACATAGAACTAGTCTGTTCTTTACACTCACTTTAGAGAGGCTGTACTGCAACTGTGCAAAAGAGCAAGGACAGGAAATATCAATTACTGAATTATGGCTCATAGCTAGATTTGAACCTTATAAATTTTAAAGGTTATAGTAACTACCCTTTCAGAATTTTGATTTCTAAGGAGCTTAAAAAGGGATGGTAAGACCTGAAAACAGCCAGTTTGCAACCTTTGCAACTGTTCTGTGCACACAGACACAATGTGCCATAGATGCCTAAGGCCAAATCTGTTACCTCATCCTTTCCTAAGTCAATAAACTTGCTAAAGACTGGGAGGCTGCTCTTGATTTCAATAAGAACTCAGCACTTCCAAGAAAGATGGCTGAGGTTGGAAGGGACCCACCCCTATCTGGGGAATCAGTTTGAATTGTTACACAATGAGAAAAGTCTTATTCATAACATGAGTCTACAGCCCAATTTAAGATAGAAAAGAAAGCTCAATTTTACCAAACTGGAAGTTGGAAGTTATGCTGTAGATACTGTAGCCCATGGCATTGGTGCAGACTGAAGAGTGTCCAAAACAGAAGCAAGGAGTACAGCCTCGTGGATTTGATGGATCCAGATTGAAGAATCCAGGTTTGCATCTGGAGATGTGAAGGAAAAATGTTTGTTTCCCTAAGGTTTATTCCAGGCCACTGCCTGTACATTCTCGGTCTTCAAAGAAAACCATAGGAAGAGAAACTCACCTCTCACAGTGGAATCCTTCAACGTTGTCCTTGCAGGTACATCGTCCTGTTTCCATGTTGCAGTCATCTGTGCTGCCAGCAGGATTGCAAGAACAGGGCCTGGAGAAGCCAGGAAAAAAGACAATTCATTAAAAAACATAAAGAAAAATCACAGGGAAAAAAAAAAAGCATTTTTCTTTTAGAGAATAGTTCCTTTGTCTCAGAGCAGTAGTAGTCCCTCTTACCTGCACCCAGCCTCAGAGAGGGAGTGGAAGCCCGGTTGGCACCGGTCACATTTATCCCCCATCACTCCAGGTTTGCAGCTGCATCGGCCGTAGCTGTCGCACTGTGTGCTGAGGGAGCCTGTGGGGAAAGCAGAAACAGGGACCTGAACAAAGCCACCGCACTGTTTTGTTCTCACTATTATCTTTGCACTAGCCGTTTTCCGTTTGTTTTTTTTCCTCCTCCAACATACCTTTTCTGAGATCATCTTTAGGACCCTTGTTCTCCCTGCTCACCATTTCCCCTTTGCCAGAAGGTATTCAGACATCTACCCCTCATACTCTTTATTTCCAAGCTGGACTAAACAACCTCCGTTGAGGGAGAGACTGTGTGTTCCACTGCTAGTTCTAAAAAAGCTCTGTGAGAAAACTAATTTTTGGCAGGACATCTGTCTCAATAGTAGTACTTTATCCAAGTGGACTTGCACAAAAAAAGCAAGCTTATTTAATCCTTGGTAGATAGACTGTTTTCTCCCAGACACCGATTCAGCTGGCCGTCCAGAAACTGGCAGCACTGCAGGAGTTAACTATCAGGAGAAAAGTGTATTAAAATACAGGATTTTTTTTTTCTCCACTCCAGTCCACTCTTAAAAAGATTACAGCAAAATGAAAAGTTGTAAGAGGATTAAACCAGACAGGACTATTATGACAGAAGAACTCATAAAACCTTTACCATATACAGACAAAGTTCAAATCTTCTTTGCCGTCAAACTTACATTTATTTAAGGAAAAAAAAAAAAAGTACTCAAATAAAAAAAATCAACTTAAAGCAGCGAGCTTCAAATATACACAGGATACCAGCACGCCAGAGCATACAAGTTGATGTTTAAGTTATAAAGTCCTTTGAAATTTGCCCCTAAATACCTGAGAAATAGTTTCTCTCCATTTGCCTCTTCCCACCCACTTCCCTGACTGCCTCAGCTGACACCAACAATCAGTACAAATGTATCTTAAAATAAGGTCCAACGAGAGGATCCGGGTACATGGACAGAGGAAGAAAGAGGCCTTTCTTGGTCAAAAACTTCACAACTGTGGAGCTCCCTTCCCAAATTAGATAGGAGATGTATTATGCCAGAGCTCTCAGTGACTGCTTTTAGGGTGTGCTGCAAGCAATTATTTATTCCAGCAGCTCTGTTTTGGAAACTCGCTTCATATCTAACTGTTACCCTTTTGTTGGCTTTGTTCTTATTTGCTGGTGGACTGAGGGAGTTATGGGATCACTCTATACAAGTCAATTACTTCCTTTGACTACTAAAGGCTTGTTCTAATGTCAGATTTTTAAAGGAATTTAAGCTACATATTTTGACTTGACTCTGGTTCTCCCCCACCCTTTTTCTTTTAATGTTTCACTGGACTGTATATTTATAGTTTTTAAATACAGGGTAGGAAAGACTGATGCTGTTGCAGTTCACAATAGTTCTTCAGCATGAACTATCTTCAGAAACATGAACTCATATCATCTTGTTTATTAAAAGTTTAGATAAGGTCCCTAATGCTATATCCAGGGTAAAGAGGTAAAGATACACAGGGAGAAAAACCTATTGCAGAACACATCTGAAGCGATCAATGCTGCAGAGGTTAACCATCTGCATCATGAGCTTTATTTTATTCACCTGCATCAGATCTTGAAATAATTATATCCAAATGCAATCCAACAAACATTTCTGGGAAGGAGAAAGCTTTTGACAGCATAGTTTCAAGTTGGTTACATAACTGAGAGAAAGGCTTTTTGTGCACAGAAGTTTTAAAGCAGAAAAATTTCTGTTACTACTTACCAACTGGATTACAATTACATGGTAAGCATCCCTCCTCGCTCCCAAGGCGATAGAAGTTTTCCCTGCACCTTTCACAGTTGGGCCCATCAGTGTTTTCCAGGCAGCCTACACAGTGACCACCGTGGCCCGTTGAGCGGTACAGCTCGGGGTCAAAGTATCATTCCTGAGCCCTCCCATTGCAGTTGCAGGCTGTGGGGAAAAAAAAAATAAATAAAAAAATAAAGGAAAGATCCACAGGTACTGTCAGTTTAGAGCATAGGAAGGTACCCATCCCTGACAGTCACTAAATCCACTGGATAAACTTCCACAGTAAGTTGTACAGGACTTGGCATAAGAACATCCGACTATTCTGAGCCTGACACCTAAAAGCCCTTAAGACATTTGGGCAAGGAGAGGAAGGGTAGACACACATGGTTTTGTGGTGGTTGGATGCAAAGAGAAGGGAGCACTTAAGATGAGACTGGCTCGAACAACAATGCCATCCCACCTACCCTCCTACTGCCGTGCCAGTCAGCACAGCTCCAAGCATTTTAACTCCTTCCTCCACAAGGCAAGAGGAGCAAGGACAGCATTTTCCTGGAGATTGCTGGCAGATATCCCCATATATCAGCAAGAAAACCGGTATGTGAACCAGCATTTGCTCCCCTGACAGCTGGGGTGTGATTTCCAGCCTTCACCCACAGTAATGCTCATCTTGGTCATGCTAACAAAGTATGAGAAGATAACGGTGAAAGTTGCCTCCCTGATGTACACTGCAAGAAAAAAAGTCTCTCCTCTGAATGTAGGGAATTTCCTGCTGTTGAGGAAGCAGGAGAGAACGAGACATGGGTTTCACTGCTCTGTCAAGCAAAGCCACAGGCCTTGAGCAGGCAGCTGGGACCTATCAGAACACATGAAGGTCAGACAGGAAGAAAACTTTGTCTGAAAAAGCTTCCCCGTAAAATAAACACCAGGAGTTGTGGTCTGTAACGCAAGACCAAAGGAAAAAAACAATTGGCGTTCGGTTGTAGATATAAAGTATTTGAAGCCCCCATCTGTGGCAATAGTATCAAAACTACATGAAATAATTTTAAAAAGCAATTATCTCAAGTACAAGAGGAAGTCTCTGGATATTGTGATCAGCTTTTTTAAAGGGTAATTATATCCCAGCATGCCAAAAATAATATTTTTTTCCTATGCGTCCCGTTAAGTGCAGGTACATACGTTTCTACTCAACATCTCTTTCCTAAAGCTTGCTCCCTTTCTTCTCTAGGAAGGGGACACTATTACCTAGGGGTCTATAAAAAAGCTCCATCAGGATACTGGCATTTACTAGCAATCCTACGAAAAATCTCTGCTGATAAGCTTCAGAAGTTTTGATTCAGTTTTATTTTCCTTGCCTACGGCTCTAATTTGCCACCTTAAAAATCGGTAGGAAGTTGAGGGCAGATGTTCTGCACATCCTGTTCCACACTTGCAAGAAAATGCAAAGGTATGGGGGCATTACTCACATGACATGTTTCAGTCCCTTGTTTATAAATCTATCATTATGTTTCCAGAAATAAGCTTTTTCCTTGTCTAAAAGTAACTGACTGCATCATTTATTAAGAACTAAGGGCACTTTTCTCTGGCCTTCCTAGGAGAAGACGATGTCTAAATCTGTTAGCAAAGACAGCACAGTGAACTCTTAAGTGTCACACATCATCTAAGCATCTACAAATCAGAACTCCCATGACAAACTGAAAACAACATTCATAGAAATATCCAGATGTGCTCAGGAGAACACATAAGGAAACACACTTCACTTAGTGTTCACATCATATTATACTCTGAGGAAACAACCTGAGATCATTATTTGCACAGCTCTCCAGGAGACTCCGAGTGCCTCCCATGACACAAGAACAGAAACAGCCTATCTGCAACGACTAGCCTCACCACCAAACAAAACAGACACACTGTTTAGATGACAGATAAAACACACCATCTGGTTATTTTGGTTACAGTTCTGCCTCAATGGCAAGCAAGACATTTGCCCTCTTCCTCTGAAAGTGTGGCAGATCTCTGACAGAAATTATTATGCTATTCAAATTCATATTTAAGGCACTCCACAATTTGACATGTGTCCAGATGCTGCGAGGGGGTTTAAAGGAGTCTTCCTGACTCGGGAGTACAAATCCTACAGTCAGTCTATCGCATATATACTCCTAATACACTGGGAAAACTGCATTCAAAACACTCAACCCTTGATAACTGCAACTAAGACTTAAAACTGCAGGGTTGACTTTTGGATGCCAAGAGAGGCAGGGGAACAAATATGTGAGAGATTTTCCTGGCAAACGTGGTCACGTACGCAAACATTCATTGGCACTCTCTGCTGTTGCTCTTCTCCATGGACGATCGTTGAAGAAAGGAAGACACTTTTCACAATCTTCTCCAAACGTGTTGTGCTTGCAGTTGCACGCCAGCTTCCCAAACTCATTCCTCAGGCACTCGCTTGCGTGACCGTTACATTTGCATCTGTTCAACAGGAGAAAGGAAGAGATGTTTAAACTCCAGAGACCCAGGTCATTCACAGAGCAATCCATACAAGAAAGCTGAGACCTGAAGATATGACACATGGTGCCAGATCAGACCAAAGTGATTAAGAAAACTGCTAGGAAATCAATATATTTAACTTAATGAAGGCAGGTCTTCAGAGAAAAAAAAAAAAAAAAAAAAAGAAAAAAAGAAAGTTAACCCCTAACTCCTCTAGAGTTAAGCGTCAATAACCTGAGTATGAGAAGCAAAAATGTTGGCTTTATACTAGCATGTTCTCCATAGCTTATCTCCCACAAAGTCCAGAGCCACGCACGCTGGCTCTGTGCTACTGCTGTAACAGTAAGAAACTACATAGGCTCAGTTAAATTCTCCCTTCTCCTGCAAAATAGGTAAAGGCCACAATCCATTTCAAAGTACCAGTTACATTAGGAAAACCAGTCAAGAGGTAAATATGGACACCGGACCTCCAAAGCCTGTCTTGTCAAATCTTGAGACTATTTTCTTCAAAGAGTCAAAGAACTACATTGGTCTTAATTGTGTTTATAACAACAACTTATTGCCAAAAAAGATGTAAAAGTTCTATGGGATACCTTGGCAAATGGAATAGAGAAAAGAGAACCACAATATTGCACAACACCTCAGCTCTTCATAGGGGAGACTTCTCAAAAAATAAGTAAAGCACAGAATCTTAGATTTTCAACTATATTCTAGGCTACAGATAAATCTGTAGGGAACAATTACTAGCAATATGTTAAATCCATAGAAAAGTCACAAAATGTTGGGTATGTTAAAGGTTTTTTTTTTTGATTGTTTGTTTGCTTTGTATTCTTGTCACTTGCCCCCATCTTTTAATGGTTGATTCAGTTAAGGAAAAAAGAAACACTTGCATCTCTGCTTACTCTACAACTTATAACCCCAAGAGGTCACATACAATCAAGAGTATTTACAGGCTTCCTAAGAAGCACAACAATATCTAGGACAATGACAGTCAGTAAGGACCAGAGCCTAGTAGTACCACATCAGAATGATCAAAATCTTTAAAGCATTGTAGTAATCCTGAAATGTTTAAATACACACACTGCTTTATTGTTTACTCACCTTCCACCCACAGCAAAATCAGAAATCGCATAATAATAGGACTTGAGAACTTTTGGGTCATTGAAAACTTCATCTCCAAACGTGTTTAAACGATTGAGGCTCACTCTAATATCAGTAGCTGTCACCCATTCCTAAAGCAGACAGAAATGCATCAAAAATACCCCTTAAGTACCTATTAGTATTACAGGTTAATAGCTGTTCAGACAAAAAGTTCCTAGTCAATAATTTTTGCTTCTGTACCCCAGTCTCACATGTCCCTTCCCAGAAAGCCTCACATCTCATCCTCTTGGTTCAGGGGTGTTTTGCAGACTCAACACCCATCTCTGCACACTCTCACCAAGGCTTCCTCATGTCTTCACTGCTCTCAGCTGAGAAGCAATAACGTCTTCAGCGAAGAATGGGGAACAGGTAATTTAATGAGGCGGCTAATTTTAAGTATCTAATTAAGCCCAATTCCCTTGCAAAGCTGTACAATGGGAATGGAAAAGCTTTAGGGCATGCTCAACGTTCACCTCTAGATACAAAGACCTGGATGGACAGATGAACCAGGGTGGGAGAGGATGAGGAGGAAAAACAGACAGAAAGGCCAAGATGTTTCTGTAATATTTACACAGCATCTTCACAGTATCCCACCCTTCTTGAATAGCCAACAAATGCAGTCTGCCCCCATCCACTGATTGCCATTAGCATATCCTTGTTTGCATTACAGCATTTACAATGCAATATTCTTTGAAATACTGCAAAGAGGAATATGGAAAAAACATCCATGTATTACAACTCCACTGCAGCTGTGTCACTTCTTCATTTGTGTATTAAGAATATTTGTTCAATCACAAACACAAGCATAAATGTATGGAAATGCTAAGAAAAAAACATTTACCTCAAATCTGAAAGGAAATGCCAGATGTTCTTTTTTTTAAAAAAAAAAAAAAACTGGTCAGACTGGTCATAAACTACTGGTCAGACCTTAATTCCTTATGCAAGGAATTTTATCACAAAATTATTCAGCATATCACTAACTTAATCTTCCCACTCATCTTAATGACCAGATCCTGTTCCCCATAAGGTCTAGCTACAGGAGCAAGGTTGCCAAACTGGTTCTCTTTCATTTCAGAAATCTTCTCTCTCCTATTCCCCTTAATTTTCTTTTGTTTAGCCAAACCTCATATAATTCTGCTTTTCCGCTTGCCAGCTGGCAATCAGACACACACCACCCCCAAACCCTCTCGGCTGTTCACACCAATAGTAGTATAGGGCTCAGTGGACTCTATACTACTTTACTACTTTAAGACAAAAGACAAGCGAAGCTAATTTAAGAGTATGACAGTTATAACTCCAAAAGGAAGGAGGTGAACCTGAGGCAGAAAAAATGTACTGCTTTAGTTCTTTGTTACAATATGATCTGGAGAAGTCATCAAGCAGTATAGAGAAAATGTTGAGTCAACCGGATTCACTGCTGCTCGTGCTGTGCTTCATACTATCACTCAACTAGCACTGTAAATGTTAACAGAAACAAGAACAAACAGGAAAAACAAGCAACAAAAACACCCATCCCCAGGAAAACACCAATAAAAGAAACTGAATAGATAAAATCCAACGCATGCTTGCCATATATAAAAGAGCAAGCCAAAGTTTCAAACAACATTTGATTTGTTTAGAAGAAGCTCACATTTCTTAAACTCTTGTGCTCATACAGATGCATCAGATATCCATCTGACGTAGGTTTTATCTTTCCCTGTGCTTACTCCTGAACCAATAACAGGCCCACAGCCCTTTTCTAAAGCCAACAGGGGCATGCATCCATTTTCTGAAGATTTCCATGGTACATAATGACAAGTCATCCTTGATGGCACTGATTTTGTTTTGTACCATAAGTTTACTTATGATAGAGTCAAGAGTACAGCTCTTCGTTCAAAAGCACTTCTTTGGATTTGTCCATACTGACTTACCTGCACAGAGGGTGCTCACTATGTGTTAAAAGCTACAGAAAACCCACACTCAGCACAAGGCTCCACAACGACCAAGTACAAAAATTCAGCTGGGACCATTTAATTAACTTAGGACTACTCACATACCTGTAACACAGGGCTGTTGTCAAAATTATAGGCACTGGGACGTCCCTCCAGAGTTGAGAAAGCCACATTGCCCCCAGTTAGAGGAGAGATGTCACTGAACTCGTCTGTGCAGAGGGCCTGCTGCTCATCCTCCCCAGTCCGAATAAACCCCCGATTGACTTTGTGGTATGTGTTCTCACAGGACCCGCTGTAATACTGGTAAGGCACCCACGGACCATCTTCCCTGGTGCGCTTGTAGATTGCAAAGCTCTCTGGCCGACTGGTGTGAAACTTCAGACGCACGTATGTGATGTCAAATGCCTTTCCTGCAAGTGAGAGAACAAATCTGTAAGAAAAACGCAACTTAAAACAAAAAGGAGAGCTGCAATGTAGCTTGTCTTTTCTAAAGAGAGAAGTATCTCCTCGAATCCCACCAGCAGTGCTACAAGTATCTCGTCCAGTCTTATTAGACACATCAAACATGGAACGCACTGAATCTGCCAGCAAAGACAGGACAAAAGAACCAAAGACAGAACTCAAAGGCAGGCAGAGCAGAACCTAACTCCATCTCCAAATATCCAGCAGGTTTACTAAATAAACCTGCCTATAGAGGAGATTTTTTTTTCTAAAAAGCTATTGATTTTTGTACAACTTCATACAGAACTCCCTAGCTCTGTTCTCTTACACAGCATCACTGACAAGCATCCCTATCCCAAAGCGATGATAGCTCAGATCATACACACAAAGCCTTGGACTGTATCTACAGCCAGTCCACTTACTCTACTGTGACTTGTTAATATTTCTTCTAGATATGGAGAAAAAAAGGCACTAATCAAAGAGGTAGCGGTCACACTAAAGAGTCCGTTTTGTACTTCTGATTCCCTCATAATTAGAAAACAGGCAAAATTCTTTCTACTCATGAAGCCTTTTCCCCAATACAGTCAATATGAGTAGAACTAACAAGTAAATAATCTACTAAATGCCCAGGAAAGACAAAACAAGATTGAGGTTTCCTGGTCCATATGATTAAAGTTTCCCAGACATTTTCTCAGATCAGCCAAGTGGAAAGATTTGCAAGCTAACTATGTTCTCCCTCTCCCATGAGAATTAATGTAAACCCACCTTCCTGCCTTCCATTTATCTCTTAACAGGTTTATGGCAATCAGCAGATCATCCTCCCCACTGGCTTCTCTCCAGCAACTTGAACATCTGCCCCTCTACACATAAACTAACCACCCAGGGGATTCACACCCCCCAAGAAAATATTTAACTTCTCCACATTCTGCTGCATTCTTTGGGGGTTGGTCGACAGCATTCCTGAAGCAAAAACTGAAAGGCAGATGTTTCACTGGATGCCATTAGCGTGTGATACTCCGCACGGAGAAATACTGCCTGCATTAAGTGCTGTGGCCTGGGGAGGTGGCAGAGCAGAACAGCGAGAACCCAGTCTTGGCCCACGCCAAGACACGCCATTTGGCTGAAACCTCCTACGTGGCTCAGGGCAATGAGAAAACGTTTCCAAAAAGATTAGAAATGCATTCAAACACCGAGCTGTTTAGATATGCAAGTACTTCTGGTGCAGCAGTTTAAGACACCTCAGCCAGGACTGTGAAAGGACTTGGGCTGCCAGCCCTCGTGTCATGCTGTAGGACAGATGTTGTACACAATTTGGTTGTCTGGCAGGCAAACACAGAGTGGGACAGTGTAGTTAAGAGAATTGTTTCTCTGCTCCTCAGGTGCTGAAGTGCTCCCTGCAGCTCCATTTATTTGCAGCTGTGCCTTGAAGTGGCACCAGGAAGGGAAGCACTGGGAACTCACGTGCCTCAGAGCAGCCAACACCACACCAAGAGGCCAAGCTTCACTACTCTGACCAGCTGAAACCATCACGGGGGAAGGACCCTAGGACACCTGAGTGACCTTTGTGCAACGCCTCGCGGGCTGCGAGACGCGTTCCCAGGGCGAGGGGCGCAGCCGCGTGCCAGCCGCTCTCCACCTCGGCCCATGGGCACGCGCAGCCAAGTGAGGAATCCCGCAGCTTAATAAACGCAGGATTTTAAGGCAACTCAAGACAAACAACTGCAAACAGAAAAGCTAAAGGTACAATCACCACTAGCACATGTAGGGGATTTGCAAAATGGTATTAGATTTATCTGGAATAAAACCTTGGGGTTTTAGTTTGTTACACTTTCTCTATCACCTCCGTGAGAAATACTATTCTAAGCAAAGGCTGTAGCAGCCACTGATCATTTAGAACAAAAAAGCTACTGGAAGAGTCTGACTGAGAAACATTTTCTCTGTCTGCAGAAGCCGCGCAGATTCAATTTCAATTTTTACAATGAATT